AAAGCATCAATTTGTCAGTGCTCAGCTTTCTTTATAGTCCAACTCTCACATCCATACATGACCACTGGAAAAACCATAGCCTTGACTAGACAGACCTTTGTTGGCAAAGTAATGTCTCTGCTTTTTAATATGCTTTCTAGGTTGGTCATACCTTTTCTTCCAAGGAGCAAGCGTCTTTTATTTATTTATTTATTTATTTATTTATTTATTTATTTAATGGTTGAAGTCACCATCTGCAGTGATTTTGGAGCCCCCAAAAATAAAGTCAGCCACTGTTTCCACTGTTTCTCCATCTATTTGCCATGAAGGGACAGGACTTGGGACTATAGTATAAGTGATAGTGGGAACTCTAAGGCTAAGTAATAAAAATGATACAGCTTTCACTTGGTTCTTTTGGAATGCACACTCTCAGAATCCAGTCAGTTTGTCAAAAGAAAACCCAAGCAGTCCATGCAGAATAAATGAGACCAACAGCCGCCGCATTGGCCAGTTCTCAGCCGATGCCAGCTTGCCAGCCGTGGACGTGGCCCATTTTGAAAGTGAGTCCTCTTCCTCTCAGCTGCACAGCCCCAGCTCGTATCATCTGGCACAGGCAAGCTGTCCTGTCAAATGACCTCTGCAAAACTTGCAGATTTTCAGCAAGATAAATGACTGATATTCCACTAGCTCAGTAGGCTTTGGGTGGCTTATTAAATAGCAACAGATAACTGATACGGACACCATTTCCTTTTTGAAATCGTCCTCAAGTACCCAGGTGATGCTGTGTTCTTTTTGGCTTCCAAAGCACTTTTAGTGTAGTATTATCTTAGTACTTATCATACTCTGTTGAAACTAATTAATCTCTTGTCTACTTCCTTGAAAATATAGGGCAAGCCTGTGCCTTTTTGGGAAATTAGCTCTTTGAATATATTGCTTTTGCCCCATTCTCTCTCCTCCCCTTTGGTCATACAAGTCAGAATTTCTTGGTGTATCTTCTAAGTGTCTTAGCTTCTCTTTCACATATATATTTTCTTATCATTTTTGTACCTCTATTCAAAACTCTGAAAAATCCTTCAACTTAATTTCCAACTCACTAAATCTCTTCTCAACTGAGTTTAATCTGCTGTTCCACTCATCCACTGAGGGTTCAATTTGGGGTTGTTTTTCTTTGTGTGTGTGTGTTTTTAATTTATAAAAGTTTTGTTTTTTTCCTCTCAAATATGCTAGGTCATTTTTTTATGGTTTCTATTCCTCAAAACACCTTCAACCTTATGTTTTATCTATAATAACATGGCCATTTTATAGTCTGCATCTAATAATTCCAATATCTGAAGTCTTTTCAGGTGGCTATTTGTTCTTCCTTATTTCTGTTGATTTCTGATTGGAGATCTTTTTCTTCTAGGCTTAATGATTGCAAATTGATCATTTTAATTGGAAAAGTATTTATAGCAATTACTTAGGGCCTACAGAGATAATTCAGCAGTCTGGTAATCATGTATGGATGTGAGAGTTGGACCATAAAGAAAGTTGAGCACCGAAGAATTGATGCTTTTGAACTGTGGTGCTGGAGAAGACTCTTGAGAGTCCCTTGGACTGCAAGGAGATCAAACCAGTCAAACCTAAAGGAAATCAATCCTGAATACTCATTGGAAGGACTGATGCTGAAGCTGAAACTCCAATACTTTGGCCACCTGATGCAAGGAACTGACTCATTTGAAAAGACCCTGATGCTGGGAAAGATTGAAGGCAGGAGGAGAAGGGGACAGCAGAGGATGAGATGGTTGGATGGCATCACCAACTCAACAGGCATGAGTTTGAGCAAGCTCCAGGAGTTGGTGATGGACAGGGAGGCCTGGCGTGCTGCCATCCGTGGGCTCCCAAAGAGTCGGACACGACTGACAGAGATAATTTACACAACTGAACTGAGAGAGATAATTTACATTCCTCTCTAGATGGTTTTCTTTTGCTTCTGCTTGACGACTGAGGGTACTACTTTAAATTAAATTCATGGGCTGATATTTTGCAGACTATATGGATGATATATTTTGGGTGAAAATCTGTGTAAGGACCAGCTCATGATTATAACACCTCAGGAATTTTTCTCCTTGTTCTGCTCACAACAAATCATCTTAGCAGATCTTGCAGTCTCCTTAGAATAAATGTTATGAGACAGAATTATTTCTGATTACTGTGTCATTGTAGCCCTTGTAGCTCTAGGTTTATGGAGGACGGATTTCCTATCAGAGTTCACATGCTTAGCAGGCACAGAGATTTGCTTTCTGTACACAAACCTATAGAGGACTTGAGGACTGAAGTTTAACAGCAGGTTCAGCAAATTCCCTCAGGACAAAAGTGATTGTAATGCTCCACTGGCTTCCCACCTTCACCAATGTATTGGCCCGATTATTTCTTACTAGTATACTGATAAAAAGAAGTTCCTTATTTAAATGTTATTTACTTTACATAATTTTCCTGTCACCTTTTTGATGTTTTAAGTCTTCCTTTTCTGTATTTTTATCCAGCATGCTGTTTTTTTTTTTAATCTTTTTCAGCAGAATTGTTCTGAGCCTAATTAGTTGTGTGTGTGTGTGTTTTTTTTTTTTTTGCCTAATTAGTTTTAAAACCTGGGTCCATTTCTTTTTCATCCCTATATCCTCCTCATCATGCAGCAAAGTGCCTGGCAAGTGAAGGAAGTCAATTAGTTTTCTTTTATTTAATGAATAAATAATGCTTTCATTCCTGCTTCCACCACCCCTAACTTAACACTCTACCTCTATTCCCTAATTAAAACTCTTAAATTTTCATATATATATATGTGAGATTCATATGTGTGTGTGTGTATATATATATATACACATATATATATTCCCACATTAACTGAACTTTACTCCTGATTTCCCCAGTATTTTCCCCTATGACCTCTCCTACAGAAGATTTTTCATTCTTTTCGAGTTTCATTCTTATCATCTCTCAGCACTGTCTCCACTCTCCATGACTGCTTCTGAATCACCCACTACTCTACCTTCATCCAATCTGCTCATCTGAAGATTATGCTACCCTATTATAACATACTTTTCCTGACTTTATTGTTACTATATGTGGATTTCCAGGCATAACTCCACATTTCTTGAGGATTTCACTACTTGGTTCACACTTTCTATTCCATTTTAGTTCTTAATATAATGCAGCAGTGTAATTAACATAGCATTCAAGAGTATAAGGGGACAACCCAAGTTCAAGTCCAAGAATCATCCATTGTTAATACGTAACCTTGGGAGGTTACCTAATATTTCCCTGCTTCATGTTCCTCTTCTATAAAATGGGAATCATGGTATTATTATCTTGTAGCATTGTAAGAATTACAGGAAATAGTGTATACAAAGCACTTATAATAGTATCTAGTACACAGTAAATGCTCAATAAACCTTAACTATTTTCATGACTATGCTCTGACCTCATGCAAAAATCTTCCTTTTACATGCTTATGATTCATACAACACCCTGGGCTTCCCAGATGGCTCAGTGGTAAAGAATCTGCCTGCCAATTCAGCAGAAGCAAGAGATGCAGGTTCGATCCCTCGGTCAGGAAGACTCCCTGGAGAAAGAAATGGCAACCCGCTCCAGTATTCTTGCCTGGGAAACTCCATGGACAGAGGAGCCTGGTGGATTACCGTTCACAAGGTCGCAGAGTCAGACGTGACTGAGCATGCACGCATGCATGCATGGCCTCAGTACTTCTCAAAAACCTACTTATTCACGTCTATAAAATTCTATAGCCAGTCACTTAAAATAATAAATCTGAATTTTACTCTAACCCTTCTCAACATTTTACTCTTCTTTTCAGTCAATAACCCTTACATTACTCAGAAATTGAACCCACCTGGACATACATATTTCAGTCTTTCTCTGTGTTCATAATGCTATATTTTTTCTTCTAAGAGAAGCAATGCTTGTGTTTTCTTAGACTATCTCAGTCTTGATTTATACCCATCAGTTTTCTCTTTTTACTCTTTGTCTTCTGTCTCTTGTTCTCCATCAGCAAACTCCTCCAACTTCTAAACTTGACCAAATCTTACTTATCCTAAAATAAACTAACCATTTCTCCCTCATACCACTTTCTTCTCATGTTAGCATTATAGCTCTTTTTCTAATCCTCTTCAAAGGGTAATCTGTATTCTCCACTCCCTTTTCCTTCTTCTGCATTTCTGAGTATCTCACTGTTAGCTTTTAAAATTCTAGGTTTATCACATTATTTCTTAAACTTACTTTTCAAAGACAGGCAGAAATTGGATTGTCAAACAAACAAATAAAGCCTCTCCTCAGAAATTCTACAGTTTCTTTGCAATCTTGAATATGCTGACCACCCACTTGAAGCTCTCCTCCCCCATTAGCTTTCAGGTAACTACTTTGCATTCTTCACTCAGAGGCGGTGGTAAAGGAATACAAAGCAAGCCTGAAGACAAACCAAAACTCATGTTCAAGCAAAGGTCCCTCAAAGTACTGATATTAAATAAGACACTTAGCTTCAAGTTCCTCATCCGTAAAATGGGCATATTTGTTCATCTTATTCACCAGTTTATAATGCTAATAAATAAAGCAATGGATCTGAAAATACCTACACAAAGTATCTGAGTATGCTTTGATGACCTGGAAGCTGCCAGGATGCAAGAAACTATACTTAAAGATTCTTGCTACCAAATTTGCTATGAGACTCTGAAGGACCCAAAGCTTTGTATCTGACCTAGAATGTTTTTCATTATTAAAAGGTTTCAGTGTCTTCACCATGGCAGTACCACCTCTATGAGAACTCTTGCCAAGAAATTAAGAGCGTTCACATCAGTAATGCTTCAACTTACCTGGACTCACTTCAAGATGCAAAAAAAAAAAAAAAAAAAATCCTTAGGACTATATTGGGGCTCTTTCATTTTTAAAAATACTGTGGGACATCAAAATACTAATGATTTATCTTCAAATATACAGGCATGTAAACTGAATTGGTCCATGTTAGTAAGAAATATTACCAGTTCTTGGAGAAGGGGCCCTTGCAATTTCTAAGGAGCAAGGCTTCTTTGTAACTGCTGTGTCCATGAGATCACATAGAAAATTCTCATTTTCTGAAGGAAATGTATCCAGAGAGGCAGATGGTACAATTTCCATAGTGTAATTCCTCTTCTTTGGATAGGACTCCTGAAAGGAAGGAGAAAAAATAAAAATAGCTTTGTGATAAAGACACAGCCTGTTTAATTTATAAAAACTAGAAAAGATAATAAGTTTCGTCAGTTCTTCTAAAAATGATTGAGAGGTGATGACTCATCTGTTTGAATAAGTTATGCAATTGTGTAACCCCAATATTACCAGTGATCTTTTTAGAACGGTCCTTGTAATTTGGTTCCCCTGAAGTTATCACTAAAGTTCTTGATTTCGAGTCATGATCTCTTTTTTATAAAATATGTGTATTTTCTACTTGTGGCATAAACAGTTGTTTAATCAACAGTCATTCCCAAGACTCTTCTCCTTTGCCTGCTTCTTAGAGATAGACATATGACTCAGTTTTTGACCAGTTAGATACAAAGGGAAATTTGCTAGGAGGCTTCTGGAAAAATATTCTTTCCCCAGAGAAACAAGGTATGCAAAGAGGCTCTTGCAGAGTTTTGGCCATCCTCAGTTACCTCTCTGGGTGCAGGTTTGATGCTTGGGGCACCGGTAGGCAGGTTGTAACCTTAAGGCAGTAAGCCTCTTACCTCAAAAAGACAACTAGTCAAGAATGACAACAGCAGGATTTTTGAAAAGCCTGGGACCTTGATAATATCATTGAGTTGCTCAGATAGTTTCAGGACCAGTTTCTTCAGGCTTCTTAAGCAATTATTAAAGTTTCTTATTGTTTGAGTCATTGCTAATTGGGTTTTCAGTCATTTAGAAGTGAATGTGTTCCCACCCAACACACTTCCTTTGTGAATACTGCTAATATACTAAGGTTACTCTTTTCAGGCTGGGATAAAATTAAGGTTTTATTCTATATTACTGATTCTCCAGTATACTCTGAAAATTGGAACTCATTTCATTTTACAATATCTTTATATCTTGTACAAGGTGTTGTGTGTGTGGGAGAGAGAGTGCATGTGTGTATGTAACTCAGTTGTTGCTCTCCACCTTTGAGATCCCACAGACTGCGGCTGACCAGGCTCCTCTGTCCATGGAATTCTCCAGGCAAGAATACTGGAGTGGGTAGCTATTCCCCTCTCCAAGGAATCTTCCTGACTCGGGATCGAACCCGGGTCTACTGCATTGCCGGCAGATTGTTTACCATTTGACCCACCAGGGAAACCCATACAAGGCATTAATGGTCAGCAAATATTTATTGAGCATCTATCATATACATATACATTTAGAACTATGTTAATTGCTGGAAATGTTTAAAAAATGAATAAGATGTAATCCTCGTACTCAGAAAGTTTGTAGTTTACCAGAAAAGAAAAACAGATTATCCACGTGATGAATTTGACAGTTAATCAAATTTACTTTTGATGTATATTACCTTTATAAACCATACTTCACTATCAAAAGAAAAACAAATGAAAAACTCATTTTCAAAAAATCTTCCAATATATATCCAAGGATTGGTAAAGATTTAGTACAAGCTCCTATTTTTTTCTTTAGTGACACTTACAGTATAGTAGAATAAGTATTCAAGGTCAGAGTAATTGCTTTCAGACCATACCAGACCCTCGCACATCAAAGAGTCAATTATGTTCACTCTACTCTATTGAAAGCAGGAAATTGGGAGTAATTTATTTTTAACAACAAAGGGTGACAAAGTTGAAAGCATCCAGAGGAAAGCAATCAGGATGGTATATGATTTAAAAACCATGTCACAGAAGAAATGATGAAAGGAACTGCAGTGTTCTATCCCAGAGAAGTTGAACTGCCACGTAATAGTTATCTCAATATATTTGAAAGGCTATCCCTCACGAGCTTCCCACAGAGTGGGAAAGGGTATGAGAGGCTGTGGAAGATTTATTCTAAAGTTCTTTTAGACAGAATAAAGAAAAATGTTTATCAGTCAAGGAAGGCAAATTTGGGTCAAAACAAAAAAAAATTTTTTCTGTGAATTAATAATATTGCTTATCTTCTAAAATGGATTATTTAGCTAAAATAATTAGCTAAAAGATAGCACTAGAAAGCAACACAATGAACTCCTCATAAATGGAAATGTTTGCATTTACTGATAAAAATATGTATAAAAGACACTGTACAATGAATACATCAGGTGACTGTAAACTCCATGAGAGCTAGAATTTTTCTCATTCACATTCTATCCCCAGAATCTAATATAACTCCTGCCACATAATGGGTCCTCAGTAAATACTTACTGATCAACTGAACATCCTCGAACACCATTTCAAACAAGTCTAAGTACCAGTTAGGAAAAGGAAAAGGATAATGCTTTTTATTTATTTATTTTTTCCATTTATTTTTATTAGTTGGAGGCTAATTACTTGACAACATTGCAGTGGTTTTTGTCATACATTGAAATGAATTAGCCATGGATTTACATGTATTCCCCATCCCGGTCCCCCCTCCCACCTCCCTCTCCACCCCATGCTTTTTAAAGATGCAAATTACTTTACTTCCCTGCCTTCCTTATTATTGTTTACTGCTTTGAATATCAAAAGTGAAAAACGTGAGATCCAATGAGATTGCAATGAGTCTATGAAGAAAGAATCTCTAGCTTAAACCCTGTTGTTTAGTCACCAAATCATATTCAACTCATTTGTGACCCCTTGGACTGTAGCCCACCAGGCTTCTCTGTCCATGGGGATTTTCCAGGGAAGAATACTGGAATGGGTTGCCATTTCCTTCTCCAAGGGATCTTCCTGACCCAGGGATTGAACCTGCATTTCCTGCATTGACAGGTGGATTTTTACCATTGAGCCACCAGGAAATCCCCAGCTTAAACCCTAGTTCATCTCAAATTAATCCAAACTATCTATTTTTCATGGATTTTGTTAGGCTGGACTTTTACCATATTTATAAAGAATTATGAGGATTTTAAAAGTCTTGAAAACAACTTTGAAATTTAACCACACAGGATGAGTTAGTAAATTAAATATATACATTTATTAAAGAAATATTTAAAAATATAAAGCAATGGAAGAAATATCACATGAAAACCTGCATGCTCAAATAGTTAATAGTATTTTGGTGTATATTCTCCCAGATGGCTTCCATGTGTGTGGACATGTGGTGTGTAAGGGAAAGACAAACTATTTTAAACAATAATGAGGTATACCCTCTTCATCTTCCTAAGGGAGTGCCATTATTTCTTATTGGCATAGAAGTCTGGAGTACACACATGGCCTCCTTATGGAGAGTGAGAGCCCCAAGGGAAGGATATAGTAAACGAAGACAGCAAAGCTGCACTTTTGTAATCAAGTGTTTGAAAGTGAATTAATTGGGAGAGGAGCAGGACTAGAGGCAAGGAGACCAGTTGGGAAGCATTCTAGCAGTTCAAGTAATAAATAATGGTGACCCAGACCAAGGTGGTAGCAGGGGTAGAGAGAATGATTCATAAATCATAATTCATAAATGAATGTGTTTGAGGTACAGAATTCAGTGTTGAATATGGGACTTAGGGAATGACTGGGCATGAAGCTGAAGAAGAGTGAGAATGAAGAATTGTCCCCAGGTTGTTTAAGTGAGTGGTGTATGGAAGTTCTGCTTACTGATAGGAAGCAAAGGAGAGGCAATGATTTGAGGAGAAATTGACAAAAATGTTGTCAATTTTTTTGAATTTTTTTTTTTTTTTGAAAAATAGACATGAGGATAATCATGAATGCTTTGATAAGGATAAATATGCAGAGAGACATATCCTTTTTCACTTTCCTCAAGAGGCTCTTTAGTTCCTCTTCACTTTCTGCCATAAGGGTGGTGTCATCTGCATATCTGAAGTTACTGATATTTCTCCTGGCAATCTTGATTCCAGCTTGTGCTTCATCGAGTCCAATGTTTCTCATGATGTACTCTGCATATAAATTAAATAAGCAGGGTGACAATATACAGCCTTTCCTGTTTGGAACCAGTCTGTTGTACCATGTCCAGTTCTAACTGTTGCTTCCTGACCTGCATACAGGTTTCTCAAGACACAGGTCAGGTGATCTGGTATTCCCATCTCTTGAAGACTTTTCCACAGTTTGTTATGAGCTACACAGTCAAAGGCTTTGGCATAGTCAATAAAGCAGAAATAGATGTTTTTCTGGAACTCTTTTGCTTTTTAGATGATTCAACGGATGTTGTCAATTTGATCTCTGCTTCCTCTGCCTTTTCTAAAACCAGCTTGAACATCTGGAAGTTCACGGTTCACATATTGTTGAAACCTGGCTTGGAGAATTTTGGGCAATTCTTCGCTAGTGTGTCAGATGAGTGCAATTGTGAGGTAGTTTGAGCATTCTTTGGCAATTGCCTTTCCTTGGGATTGGATTGATTTGATGGTCCAAAGAATTGATACTTTTGAGCTGTGGTGTTGGAGAAGACTCTTGAGAGTCCCTTGGACTGCAAGGAGATCCAACCAGTCCATCCTAAAGGAAATCAGTCCTGAATATTCATTAGAAGGACTGATGTTGAAGCTGAAACTCCAATACTTTGGCCACCTGATGCGAAGAACTGACTCATTGGAAAAGACCCTGATGCTGGGAAAGATTGAAGGCAGGAGGAGAAGGGGAAGACAGAGGATAAGATGGTTGGATGGCATCACCGACTCAATGGACATGAGTTTGAGTAAACTCTGGGAGTTGGTGATGGACAGGGAGACCTGGCATGCTGCAGTCCATGAGGTCACAAAGAGTCAGAAGGGACTGAACTGAACTGAACAGCCCTCCCAGTGTTACTATGATCCCCATTCAGAAACTAAGGCTTGGAATTATTAGCTGTCCAATATTAACATCTGGTTAATGGAAGTTTTAGGACTACATTCTAGGTCTTATTTCAGTAACTATAGCATTCATTATATTGCATCACAGATAAAAGAACTATGGCAAGATCTTTATTGCCATAACTAAAGGAAAGAGGAAAACTGCTCATTGTTAGGTAGTACCTAACCCTGCCACCTTTTAGCCTTTGCAAGCCCTCTTCCTTACTGTGGGAAATCTGGATTTTGATATACAGGTTTATTGCCAAAGCACTCTTGATGG